AGGTTCCAACAACAGACAAATATGCGTTGGTTTATGTGGCCACTGTCCTTGAAACTGATTGGGCCCACAGCAGAGCCACAAACCTCCTTTATGGCCTTGTCTGACCGGTGCCATTTGAGCAAGTAATTACGGTATTATTATTATTTAATCATTGCCAGAAAGGAGTTTGTTTGAATCTGAAAATATTCAAATTAAACTAGTTTTGTGTTACCAGGTAAGGCCCACTGAACTATGTAGGAGGTTTTTTTTACTCTATGTGTTTTTCGGTAAAGTCACGTAGAAATAATAAAAAGTAAAATAATATAATAGCATACGACGTTTCGATTGCTATTATATAATTTTATTTTTTTATTATTTCTAAAAAATAAAATTATATAATAGAATACGACGTTTCGATCGCTGTTATATAATTATTATTATTTTATTATTTCTACGTTACTTTTACCGAAAAAAACAAAGATTAATTCCTGCAGTCACGAAAGCACCTAATCAAGTTAGGAGTTTTTTGTTTTGTTTGCAAAAGCGACCTGGCCACAAACGATGGCTCAACGGAGTGGCTTATCATCATCGCGTGGGAATGTTCAGCAGCCGAATACTCTTAAATGTAGAGGGGGGAAACCTGAGGACCCAGAGAAAAATCCACGCGACCACAGGGAGAGAGAGAGACACGCAAACTCCAAATATACAGCAGCAGCAACAGGCGTCAGGGTCAGGATTGAACCCACGACCTCCTGTAGACCAGGCGAGGTAGTTAACATCTCCTAGCCACCGTGATGATGATGAGAGAGACACGCAAACTCCAAATATACAGCAGCAGGCGTCAGGGTCGGGATTGAACCCACTACCTCCTGTACACCAGGCGAGGTAGTTAACATCTCCTAGCCACCGTGATGATGAGAGAGAGACACCGCAAACTCCAAATATACAGCAGCAGCAACAGGCGTCAGGGTCGGGATAGAACCCACGACCTCCTGTATACCAGGCGAGGTAGTTAACATCTCCTAGCCACCGTGATGATGATGATGAGAGAGACACGCAAACTCCAAATATACAGCAACAGGCGTCAGGGTCGGGATAGAACCCACGACCTCCTGTATACCAGGCGAGGTAGTTAACATCTCCTAGCCACCGTGATGATGAGAGAGAGAGAGAGAGACACGCAAACTCCAAATATGCAGCAGGTGTCAGGGTCAGGATTGAACCCACGACCTCCTGTATACCAGGCGAGGTAGTTAACATCTCCTAGCCACCGTGATGATGATGAGAGAGAGAGAGACACGCAAACTACAAATATACAGCAGGCGTCAGGGTCGGGATTAAACACACGACCTCTTGTAGTCCAGGCGAGGTAGTTAACATCTCCTAGCCACCGTGATGATGATGAGAGAGAGAGACACGCACACTCCAAATATACAGCAGCAGGCGTCAGGGTCGGAATTGAACCCACGACCTCCTGTATACCAGGCGAGGTAGTTAACATCTGACACAATGGGATTGAACAACAGATAAACAACTGTACAGGGTCAAATTCCGAATGGCAAGGTCGTGGATTATAATGGGGATGGCCGGCACACCGAGTACTTCAACACCATACAACAACAACACATTGTTTGCAAAACAAATACCAATTATACTGGTAGGAACCTCCTGGTTACACCAGCCCACAGGGGATTATTGTGTCCGTCCGTCCGTCGTGCATCCAAAAATAGAAGGGGTGGGGCTGGGTGGGGAGGGTGGGGAGGGGCTGGGTGGGGAGGGAGGGGCTGGGTGGGGAGGGAAGGGTGGGGAGGGGCTGGGTGGGGAGGGTGGGGAGGGGCTGGGTGGGGAGGGGCTGGGTGGGGAGGGGCTGGTCACCCCGTGGTGCCCTTATAAAACTCAACGTTTCACCTACTCACGCCGGCTTGTGCCCGCCCTCACAGTCGGGCATAATTGCGGAATACACCATGTGGTGCCGCCGTTGACCCTAGCCATTGACCGAGCAACCCAACGTTCCTACCAGCTCCCTCCGCAGGAGAATGTGTTGTTTACATGGCCTTAAGACATGTGTAGTTTGCGTGTTTTTTGCCACGAGTATATGTGGTTAATGTGGACTTGCTGCCTTGGAAAAGGTGTGTGTCTATTTGGTGTTTGAACATCTGAACACCTGTTTTATTGCCAGAACGGGTTGAAGCCTACTCTTATCTTCGACGAATTTTGAGACTGGCAAAATATCACGCAGATTTGACTTCCTAACCCGAGCTAGCAATGCTTTCATACTTGTGTAGTGCCTACGATGCAGAGACAGAGTTTCTAGGAGGCACTTTCTTTATTAATAACTCTCACGGTCTCATCCGCACACTCTCCACAAGTAGCTCAGCCTAGCCTGTACGCAACCAAACACTGACGGCGTTGACTCAGATAGCCAACTACAGCAAAACCTTGGATTGCGAGTAACTTGGTCTGCGAGCGTTTTGCAAGACGAGCTAAAAAATTTGAAATAAATAATAATTTGATAAACGAGCGAGGGTCTTGCAATACGAGTAGTAGTACGTGTACACGCTCTGCACTGCCGAGCGTCACGTGATCACAACTGATGTACGAGCGCTTTGACATACGAGTGGTTTGGATTGCAAACACGTTTCCGGAACGAATCACGCTCGCAATCCAAGGTTTTTACTGCGCTCTCCTTCGTAGCGCAGCGTCTAGCGGAGACGTTGAGCGTTGCCGACGGCGACCAGACGACAGCGACGACGAGACGGGTCCACTCCCAGAACCGGCAGCCCCGAGCCCCCCGCTCTCGCCTCCTTTTACGCTACCGGCGCGGCAGGTTCCAGGGCCCCCCAGACGGGATCCTCCGTGACCCTTGCCCGAGTTCATCCGCTCTGCCAACACTCCCTCACTTGGCGTGTGCGCTTTGAACTATTGTCAATTTGTAGTTGCGTATTTGACGTGGCGCTGCACTCTGAAAGTTGTAGGAGAAAACATTCATGAAAAAGTCTATTCAATTGAGTAGAACGTGTCGTCTATATTTATTTGAAGTTGCGCATTTTGATGTGACGACACATTTCTCAAACACCCCCTCCCCCCCTCCCTCGTCACACATCGTCACAAATGTCTGACCCCCCCCCCGCCGCCCCCCCCCCCCCCCACCCTAGGTGCGTGACGTCATTTATGGACGGCCACCTTACACTACACTTGCATTGCCTTTGCGTTGTTCGCCTTATGGGCGTTCTCTGGCCTAATGCGCGTGTAATAAAGCACGATCTGTAGTCCGTGCCTTCTTTATTATTGATTCCCCGTCGGCCGGACAGCTCCGCGTTCTCTTCACACCGACACCGCTAAACTCTCGCTCTTGCGCGCCGCTGGCAGACGGCACGCAAGGAGACAGCCTCCGGCTGCGGCGAGACGCGAGACGCGATCTCGCCTCCTCTAGACTCCGCACGCTGACCCCGAGCTTATTCCTGCTTCCCCCTTATATCCCTTCGCCTACGTCACTAAGCCCCACCGATAGCCAACGCCCCCTCACGAACCTTCTGGATGGTTGCCCACAAGAGCCCCCTGAGCTCCGCCCTTGAACTTGGCGCATCAGTCTAATTGGCTGATGGTTGAAGCGCCGGAGCCTATCTCGTATGACACTAGTACTGGGGCAAGGCCTCAAAGATGGCTACTCTCTGGTGTAGGCCAATCAGTTTCAAAGACAATGCTTATATTGTCAGAGTATCAATCTTGATTTGAAGCTTTCGTGACTGCAGGAATCCACACTCTTTGGTTTCTTGGGTAAAGTCACGTGGTATACGTTTGTTTTCGTGTTTTGCCACAAGCATTACGTGTGGTTAATGCGGATTTGATGCCTTGCAATAGGCGTGTTGTCTTATTGGTGTTTGACCATATTAATACAACTCCTGTTTAACACGCTTTTTATTAACTCACTCTGTCTGTTGTTGTCGTTGAATCATCAAATCTTGTAACTCAATTTTAACCCACTTCCCATTGTGGTATCGACTGCAAACTTGGTATGCTTATGTCACACTGATGACAATAACTATATTCTATCTAAAATTATTTTTTAAATGTTATGTTTCGGCTTGGGTCTAGTTGTCCACGCTCAACTCACGTTGGCTGTAAATCACCACGGGTCCCCTTACGTTGTGGCAAGCTTCGAGGCAACTTTCTGGAGTCGTGGAGTTCTGCCGTTACTCGTACATTCCATAAAAGCGTGTTTTAAAAAAAAGTTTTTTTTAAAGTATTACTTATTATTGCCAGAGAGGCTAAAGACCTATTATTTTATCAATAATCTCCGATACTGGCAAATAGCATCTACCTGTCAAGCCCTTATCAGTGCCCTTCGTTATTACAGACCAATTCAGACCTTATTGGTCACCCCGTGCCCTTATGAATCTCAACGTTCATCGTACAAAGTCCCATCGCAAGGGAGAAAGACAAACAAATGGACGCAGTTTGTTTGTGTTTTGCCCGTGTTGAAAGGGCGACAGGTGTGTGCCAGCTACCATTGACGCGGCTCTGCCCGACCAACGTGGCCACGTTTCCGGTTCCGGTCACCTGGGGGGAGGGCTGGGACCGTCGGGGGTGAGGGGTGGGGGGCCGTGGGGGGAGAGGGGGTTGGGGGTTGGGGGGCCGTGGGGGTTGGGGGTGGGGGGCCGTGGGGGTTGAGGGGTGGGGGGCCGTGGAGGGGAGGCTGAGGGGCGGGGCACCGAGGAGGAGGAGGCTGAGGGGCGGGGCACCGTGGAGGAGGAGGAGGCTGAGAGGCGGGGCACCGTGGAGGAGGAGGTTTAGGGGCGGGGCACCGAGGAGGAGGACGCTGAGGGGCGGGGCACCGTGGAGGAGGCTGAGGGGCGGGGCACCGTGGAGGAGAAGGCTGAGGGGCGGGGCACCGAGGAGGAGGAGGCTGAGGGGCGGGGCACCGAGGAGGAGGAGGAGGCTGAGGGGCGGGGCACCGTGGAGGAGGAGGCTGAGGGGCGGGGCACCGAGGAGGAGGAGGAGGCTGAGGGGCGGGGCCGCGGGGGGTGCCGTGGCCGTGGTGACGTGGCCTCCGCCATATTGAGGCTTCTCGTCTCCCGCGGGCCGCCCTCACGTCCGCGTCCATTCCGCCGCCTCCCGCTCATCGCCAGGCGCTCCGCCTCCTCCTCCTCCTTCCCTCTCTCGCCATGGTGAGTGGACGGCCCACGAGCGCCTCGGCGTTCCGTTGTGCGCGGCGGTGAGGAGCTCGTGCGCCAGGGGCTCGTTGAACGTTTGTTTGTTTTAAAAGGTAACACAAATTAACCAAAAAAAAATTCGCGAAGGCCCTCGCCACCCGCCGCGGGGCTCACCGAGGCTCGGATAGATTCTCTGCCGCCTGACGGGCGCGCATCGCCCGCCCGGGATCTAGCCGAGGTCCGGCGAGGGCCTAGTAGGCCCTCCGTGATTATTTTTGTGTGTGTGTGTGCGTGTTAGTTACATAAAATGTTCAAAAGATAACCAACTAAGTTATTCTTTTTTTCAATTAACTGTTACGTTTTAAACCGACTGCGCCAATAGCGCGCGCTTTTAGCTCATAGGCAGTGTTCTTTTAAAGTGACACTTTATTTTTTGTTTATTTATGATGAAAGGGTACGCCCGCTGTTACGCGGATATCTTGTTACTCTCATAACCTGCCCAGCTTCCTTGGTCAAATCCACTGCTGGATGGAACGGCACCGTGCCCGAGCGGTAGGCGTAGCGCTTTGTACAACGAAGACGTCAACGGTGCAGACCCACCGGGAAGGTGGAGACATTAACCCGCTTCACAGATACGGAGCTTGGGGAGGTGGGGGACCTTTTCGTTCGCGGTTTTGTGATTGTATTTTTTTTGTTACACTTGAGACGGAGACGAAGATCCCCCGCGTAGCCTCTAACAGACTGTAGGGGGCAAGTGGGTGTCCAATACCACGCCCCGACCGCCTTTGTCTCCCCCAGTGGCGATGTTTACTACGCACCGCACCAGGTACCTCATTTGAGGCTGAGTCGACCTAGAGGGGGAAGGCCAAGTTACCGGTTCAGACAATCGTCGTCGGTGTTGACCGTGAGCGAGTAATCGAACCCGGGTCGCCGGCTTAATAGCGCAGCGTAGCGCTAACCGCTGCACCACCGCTCCCCTCGGCGGCCTCCTCCACTTAAGACGTTCACGCTGTCACCAACATTTGCGCCGCTAGATGTTCACGATTCCCCTCCGGCGGTGTTTGACGCTGCTTATTATTCAGCAGGGTAGTGCGGTAGTAGTTATCCGGTGCTGCCGGCAATTGAACGTAGTTGCGGCCCTGTTCGAAATGCTATAAGGGAAGTAAGGCGGGCATGGTTTGGCCAGGCCCATGTAGCTAGACATTAACGAAACTATTTTTTTCCCCCATAATACAAGGGGGTATTATGGGTGGGTTTGTACTGTATGTTGAACTTCTTTCGTACCGTACGTGGCCAACCGTGTTAATCGGAGCTGTGGGGGAGATGAACAACGAACGGCACATTAAATGAGTTTTCAATCTACGAATGAGTTTTCAACGACGTCGGAAGTGTGAGACAAAAAGAGCGAGGAGCATGGAGTGGAACAGAGATATAGAGTGAGAGACGGACAGAGGCATAGAGAGAGAGAGCTTGAAACAGGCAGAGAGATTTAGTGAGACAGGCAGAGAGATGCTGAGACAGACACAGAGGCATAGAGAGACAGAGTGAAACAGAGGCAGACAGATTTAGTGAGACAGATTTAGTGAGATAGACACAGGCATAGAGAGAGAGTGAAACAGAGGCAGAGAAATTTAGTGAGACAGAGATTTAGTGAGACAGACACAGAGGCATAGAGAGAGTGAAACAGGCAGAGAGATTTAGTGAGACACACACAGAGGCAGAGAGATATGGTGAGATAGACACTGGCATAGAGAGATCTGGTGAGACAGACACAAGAGGCAGAGAGAGATACTTAGTAAGACATAAACAGAGGCATAGAGAGAGAGAGAGAGTGAGACAGAGGCATAGAGATGGTGAGATAGACACAGAGGCATAGAGAGTGAGACAGAGGCATAGAGATGGTGAGATAGACACAGAGGCAGAGAGAGAGAACAGATACAGAGGAGAGGCATTGATAGACGGCATGAAGGAGAAGGACAACAGACTAACACACAGCAGACACACGCACACACGAAAACGGACGCCCTTCTGCCGGCGTTTTAGGTGTGAGCAAGCAATTTGCAGGCCTGCATCTCCTTTGCCTCTTGCAAAGATGTTCACGATCGCCGTGCGCTGCGTGACGTGGCCATCCAACGTTGATCGGTGCGGTGAACGTGTTTTGGCTCGGCCGTGGCACGGACGGGGATTTTGATGGCCAATGAGGACGGCCGACTCGAACCCCTCTGAGGGTTGTTTGAGAGGTCCGAGTGCAACGGGCCGAGAGGAGTGACCCAGAAATGTCGTCGGCATCGTCGTCTTGAACGTCGTCGGCCAGCTTTCGCCTCCGGTGGGGCCACGGTTGGCTGTGCGTACGGTGCAAAAGAAGTTCAACGTGCTGACTTGGGCACACGCATGGACTCGCGTAGTCACTCGCCCACTCGCGTAGTCACTCGCCCACACACATAGTCACTCACCCACTCGCGTAGTCACTCACCCGCTAGCGTAGTCACTCACCCACTCGCATAGTCACTCACGCAGTCACTCACCCACTCACACAGTCACTCACCCACGCGCGTAGTCACTCACCCACTCGCATAGTCACTCACCTGCTAGCGTAGTCACTCACCCGCTAGCGTAGTCACTCACCCACTCGAATAGTCGCTCACCCACTCGCATAGTCACTCACCCACTCACACAGTCACTCACCTGCTAGCGTAGTGACTCACCCACACACATAGTCACTCATCCACTCGCATAGTCACTCACACAGTCATTCACCCACTCAGTCACTCACCCACTCGCGTAGTCACTCACCCACTCGCATAGTCACTCACCCGCTCGCATAGTCACTCACCCACTCGTATAGTCATTCACCCACTCACATAGTCACTCACCCGCTAGTGTAGTCACTCACCCACACACATAGTCACTCACACAGTCACTCACCCACTCACATAGTCACTCACCCACTCACATAGTCACTCATCCACTCACAGTCACTCACCCACTCACAGTCACTCGCCCACTCGCATAGTCACTCACCCACTCGCATAGTCACTCACACACTCAGTCACTCACCCACTCGCATAGTCACTCACACAGTCACTCACCCACTCACGCAGTCACTCACCCACTCGCGTAGTCACTGACCGACTCGCATAGTCACTCACCCACTCGCATAGTCACTCACCTGATAGCGTAGTCACTCACCCACTCGCATAGTCACTCACACACGCACACAGTCACTCACCCACTCGCATAGTCACTCACCCACTCGCATAGTCACTCACCTGCTAGCGTAGTCGCTCACCCACTCGCATAGTCACTCACACAGTCACTCACCCACTCGCATAGTCACTCACCCACTCGCATAGTCACTCACCCATTCACATAGTCACTCACCGGCTAGCATAGTCACTCACCCACACAGTCACTCACCCACTCACACAGTCACTCACCCACTCGCATAGTCACTCACCCACTCGTGTAGTCACTCACCCACTCGCATAGTCACTCACCCACTCACACAGTCACTCACCCACTCGCGTAGTCACTCGCCCACTCGCGTAGTCACTCACCCACTCGCATAGTCACTCACCCGCTCGCATAGTCACTCACCCACTCGTATGGTCATTCACCCACTCACATAGTCACTCACCCGCTAGCGTAGTCACTCACCCACACACATAGTCACTCATCCACTCGCATAGTCACTCACACAGTCACTCACCCACTCACATAGTCACTCATCCACTCACAGTCACTCACCCACTCACAGTCACTCGCCCACTCGCATAGTCACTCACCCACTCGCATAGTCACTCACACACTCAGTCACTCACCCACTCGCATAGTCACTCACACAGTCACTCACCCACTCACGCAGTCACTCACCCACTCGCGTAGTCACTCACCGACTCGCATAGTCACTCACCCACTCGCATAGTCACTCACCTGATAGCGTAGTCACTCACCCACTCGCATAGTCACTCACACACGCACACAGTCACTCACCCACTCGCATAGTCACTCACCCACTCGCATAGTCACTCACCTGCTAGCGTAGTCGCTCACCCACTCGCATAGTCACTCACACAGTCACTCACCCACTCGCATAGTCACTCACCCTCTCGCATAGTCACTCACCCATTCACATAGTCACTCACCAGCTAGCATAGTCACTCACCCAAACAGTCACTCACCCACTCACACAGTCACTCACCCACTCGTGTAGTCACTCACCCACTCGTGTAGTCACTCACCCACTTGCATAGTCACTCACCCACTCGCATAGTCACTCACACAGTCACTCACCCACTCGCGTAGTCACTCACCCACTTGCGTAGTCACTCACCCACTCGCATAGTCACTCACCCGCTCGCATAGTCACTCACCCACTCGTATGGTCATTCACCCACTCACATAGTCACTCACCCGCTAGCGTAGTCACTCACCCACACACATAGTCACTCATCCACTCACAGTCACTCACCCACTCACATATTCACTCGCCCACTCGCATAGTCACTCACCCACTCGCATAGTCACTCACCCACTCACACAGTCACCCACTCGCATAGTCACTCACACAGTCACTCATCCACTCACGCAGTCACTCACCCACTCGCGTAGTCACTCACCGACTCGCATAGTCACTCACCCACTCGCATAGTCACTCACCCACTCGCATAGTCACTCACCTGATAGCATAGTCACTCATCCACTCGCATAGTCACTCACCTGCTAGCGTAGTCGCTCACCCACTCGCATAGTCACTCACACAGTCACTCACCCACTCGCATAGTCACTCACATAGTCACTCACCCACTCACATAGTCACTCACCCACTCACATAGTCACTCACCCACTCGCATAATCACTCACCCACTCGCATAGTCACTCACCCACTCACACAGTCACTCACCCACTCGCATAGTCACTCACCCACTCGCATAGTCACTCACCCACTCACATAGTCACTCACCCGCTAGCATAGTCACTCACCCACTCGCATAGTCACTCACGCACTCGCACAG